GATCTACTCAGGTCGCTTCTGACCCTAGAAACTATGAAACATCCTTGTTAACAGCAGCATATGGAAATGACAAAGAAACAAGGATCTTGGCCTTCTCTGATAAAAATAAACCAACCCAATTTTTTAATTAAAAAAAAAACAAAACACTACTATCCCAAAATCCACATTTTTCCATGATCAAAATTAAACACCACCAATATATAGATTTTTTTTTTAAATCAGAGAAAACCAGTATCCCTGGAGATAAGACCTGATTTACCTACCCATCAGCCATATCATCTCTGCAAGTTGCATATACACAGAGTTAAACCTTTACCTGTCTCTCTAAAAGTGAAAAGTTTCAAGAAGTTACATGAATAGAGGATTGTTGGGGGTGGAGAAGATCTGGGCAAGGAGGAGGAGAACAGAGATAAATGCAAGGAGAAAGGGGCAGTAGAAACAAACGAGAAACATTCTGAGTAGAATTTTGTTGAAATTGCAAAATACTTTTGTAACAACCGCTTTGCAGCAGCTGCTCTGAAGAAAGCAGGAGGAACCAAACTAATTTTCCCACAAGATGTGTGATGGAACTCAGCAGTGGACTATTTTGAGCAATATAGTGACAACTGGCCTAATCTGATGACAATTTATGAACAAAATTGTGACAAAAAAGATGGAACTGTCATAGCCAAAGTTCTCAACATTAGGCTAAAGGGAAACATAGAACATATGCCAATTATCCTTACTAGTGATTTAAAAATCGAACCCACCCCGTGCTTTATAGAAAATAATCACTTAAATTTCAAGTACAAAGCCAACATGAACATAGTACTGAAAAACTGCAGCAGTGTGTGCATGTCTGATACAATTTTTCAAGGTGGTTGTCACCTTGTGTAGGGTTTGCAAGCCAGTCAATTGACTGTATTTTTCAACTGGTTAAAGATTATAGCAATTTTACCAAAAATAAACTTTTTGGGGACTTTTGACAGAAATGTTATTGGGGGGGGTTACATTTCCTAGTGGAAAAATGGAATTATACTTTTCTGTGCATTATGACTATAACCTATTGGCAATTTTTTTTACAATTTTGGCTCAATTTCTCACTCTATTAATTTTAATGGATGTTTTTGTTTGTTTTACAGCAATAAGTTAAAATGGTCTCCTACTTGCCATTTCTGGCATCGTTACTCCACAACACAAATTTTGCCACATTTGACTAAGTTGTAATTTCATTTTGCAGCCCTTCCTAAGATGCTTTTAATGACAGAAGCGGTTCTTTTTTCTAAATATTTAAAACTTTGTCTCATCAGAAGTGCCCATTGAAGGAGAAGTGTACCTTGAGGCCCAAATCTTTAAAAATATATTTGTCAACTGCTTTAAACAGGAACAGGAAGTTAATTGTAATCCTTTTAAACCCTTAATTTATCAGACAGAATCTTGCAATTAACAGAACAATGGAGGAATGTGAATTCAACAGTTCAATAATAATTGCATAAAGCATATTCAATTCCCTTTTATACTTTGAAAATAACCACACGAAAATCATTTTTCTAGGTGCCTCATGAAGAGAATCTCTTCTGCTCTTTGATCTCTACTCTGGCAAGAGCTATTTTTACTCGAGAATTGTTATTCCATTCATCTCAAAGCCACCAATCTTCTTTTATATAGAAATTTAGTGAAATTCACAAAACAAAACTCAACTTAGGGGGAAAAAAAAAAAAAAAAAAAAAAAAAAAAAAAAAAAAAAAAAAATCAAGCCTTTCTATATCTCCAAACCTTTTTGCAGCTAGAGCTTACAGTGAGATGCTTCTTTCAACCTCTCACAGAACGAGCATTGTGAAATTAATACATATTTACCAAAATCAATGCACATCCAGTCCTCTGTGTCTTTCCCTTCAATCTGGACATGAGGATCATCATCATGTTTCAGATGCTTGTACTGAAAAAGAAAAAGCAGCAAATTGACATGAAAATAGATTTTTTTAAATATTTTTTTTTTTCAAGTGATGCAAGCTAACCTTGTCTACGGAATTTACTCTGAATGTGGAATGAAAGAGACCAATACTGGAACAACACATCCATTTGTGGACCTTTAAAAAAATAAGAGTTGGAAAGGGTTTGAAATAGAGATACTAGCCACCCAGTTATTAAATAAAACAGGAGCAGCACTATTTTCCTGCGTTAATGAGAACATGAACTGCAGCTCCATTTTGGGGACAGAAAGGGAATAGCGGCCTTCAGGAGAAAGTTTTTAATGGCTAAACACAGATTTTTTTGTGCCTGAAGTAGAAAAAGATACAGCATACACCATGGGATAAGGCATAATAGATATGAACTGTATTAGACACAGCTGTAATTGGGCTTTTTAAAAATTCATGCTGAAATTTTATGTCTGAATCAAACTTACAGGAGAGTAAAACTAACATTTACACAATGCGTGCCTGCTGAGTAAAAGGCAACAATAGGTATCACAGCACAGTTCATACGGTGCACTAAAGGGGATTGGAAAAAGAAACAGACCGACTACTTAGTGCAGCCTATCCAGCAGCACCCTACCAGTTGATGGTGTCTATATAGCATATACAACATTAAAGTTCTAGACATTAACTGGTGCACAGCCACCTTGTCTGCAATAAGTGCTCTGGCCCCTATTGCCTCAAACAGCAGTCTCAGGCTTATTAAGCTTCCTGATTTTTACAAGGAGATCACTAATGTCAGGCTCTTCTCCAGGATTCCTGAGATCAGGATCCTCACTCTATTTCAGGCCAGCTAAGAGAGTGGTACCTGAAATCTTTCTAAAGGCTTTAGCAGGGACTTCCTCCTATTCTGCAACTTCCT